ACGCATACTTGAAGGACTCTATTTTCCATACATTGGTAGAATTCACTCATGTGCTTGCACTTAATTTCATCACAACCACCTGCGTGCTTGATATCCACGTGGTGGTTTGTCAGTGATTTTCAACTTTAGTAATTTTGGAACCCACGTGTAGGTTAGATTTCTGTGAGTCCTTGTATGTGTAGTTTATCATCACTGTGCAAATTACTTAAAAAACCGTGGTTCTTATTTATATTCTTCCGGTTATTTTTTTAATAAGGAGTACTATAGCAATTAATATTGAAATGGGGGAGAGGTGGCTGTTGATATTAAAATTCTACAAATACAACCATAATAGCACTAGTAACTACAATGATTCAATTGTAATTAATCCCTGTAATGGATATTCAGAGTCTGTTCGACTCGAACAAGTTAGAAGTTTAATCCTTTTCTTTTAGAAAATTACTTTAAAATGTCCCATTTTGAACTTTAATACTACGCGCACTCTATAGAATTTAAATTAGTCTAGTAGTATAATTAGTAGTATTATTAAGACATTTACCGCCTTTTCTCCCCGGAATAACAATAACGACTGAGGAAAGATGTTCACGTCTTTCCACATAAATCAGACTGAAGACCGTCAGGAGTGTCAAACTTCATATTTTTCAAGACATGTCAGCTTCTCTGAGTGGCGTTTAAACGGAGCTGAGCTTCGGGTGAACAGGCTTTTTAAACATCACCGGCGGTTGTTGATCCTTCGCCCCATTTGGTAGTGAAAAGGGATACAAGAAACGTGTCGGTTTTATCAGCGTTTAATAAACGTGAAGACGAAAATGAAGATATTATTCACAGAGCCACATTACAATATTTTATTTAAAACACATTTTTAGTAACATTATATTTGAACACCCTTTAAAGTTCGGGGAGTGTTAGTGTGGTGTAAATTTAACTGTAGCTTTTATAGCAGAACTAAAACCAGTTTTTGTGGCTACTGTACTAACTGCCTTTACCAGTTATAGGATTAACTGTAGCCGATGCAGAGTGATCCTAAGCAGACACGACCACTATTCAAACACTACAAGAAACAAGCACAGAAGACGTTTTGATTTTCATTAAAGGAATTAAGAATAAGGAACTAAGAGTGTACATCATACCTTCTAAAGAACGTATAGTGCGTCCGAACATGTGAATTTTTATAGCTATATAAAGGTGAAAAACACAAATGAAACGATCTCGCCATTTACCAAATCTTTATTTTGATTTCCATTCTACAGTGTCTGTTGGACTGTATCTATTTCGCTTTACCTTTTTGCCTTATGTGAATAAAGGACCAGCTGAAATAACGAAAAGACACGTACCGGTATAACTTTGACCTACCCTATCCGAAAGCAACAAGTAGTCCATAATTTACCTCGCTCTTTAACCCATACAAAAATGCTACGTTTTGCCCAAGTCAATGCTTTACGTTTTAGGTTTTAGTTTGTAAATTAGAATAGTTTTCTACAAACAAAATCAGCCAACGTTATATTCTATATAAGTATTTATATTTGATATTGAAGTGGTGGAAAAATGTGAAAACATTTTATAGACAATAAACTGCTATTTGATTTTCTGTACTAAGGGTCAATTACTGTGTGATATTATAAACGGGCTAGATAAAAAAAAAACACATTAGTCGAGTGATTTCTAAAACCAGATTTATTTCACTAAATTATTAGTATTCAATAGTATGCATAAAGATTAATTGAACATTTAATTAAAAACATTCCAAAATAAAAATTAAGTACTTAAGCTAGGCTTAAAAATAAAAGCACATCTTTATTTTGCTCTTTTTGAAAACCAAGCTGTAAAAAGCAACTATGAGTAATTTCGTATAAAGTTGTTACATGTAGACTACCTCACGGGTGTTTCCCCTAACTATGCGGCTAAATGTTAAGCCTTGCGGGACAAGAAATAATGAACTTTCTCTGTGAAATACCAAATCCAAATGAACCTATTTTCAAAACTTCAGTACAGAAGGTCAGCCCCCCATTTTCCGGTGGTGCAAGATTCAAATATTTGGTGGCTATTCAGAAAATAAGGAATACTGACTTAAACTTACATAATTCATCGAGTTATTTTTTTGTGAAAAAAAAAATTAGAAACCAAACCTAACAAGCAGTTTACTCAAGAGGGCAATGAAGCTGAACAAGTTCTTTCGCCCGCTTATCAGTAGTGTGTTCTGTAACCTGAGGGACTGCTGATGGCTTTTTCAGTGTTCGTCACTAGGTGGCACTGTGTCTGTTTCAGAAAAATAAAAATCCTCCTCATGCGCAGAATTCTTTGCTTTTTGGGGGAGACTCACTCCAGACAAATTGGACTGTTTTCAATTGACTTTTAACCAAAACGTAAGGAAGAAAAACAATGCATTATTGACACAGTAATTGATTTTAAAACTCAGCAATACATTTATAATTTATACTCGCGTTTAAATATATTAAAATTAGTGCATTTTGATTTTTCCCACAAATTGGTTACAATTTAGTAACATTTCTTTTTTAAAATAGATGTTCGTCAGACTATAGGACCGTTTTTGAACTGTATAAAAACAGCCTTTTTTAATTCTCATTATCAAATGTATTATTAAGTAATATTTATGCTCATCCATTATATATATTTGATGTTTGCACATGTTGCTCAGAATGAGGCAGTGTGTTCCTCGTCTACACAGATTCGTCTCTCTGTCCGCCGGGGAAGGAGGAAAGGCAGCACAACCCTGTCACTTTCCTCAGTAATAATTTCCACGTCCAATTCCATTTCTTTTCTAGTTCTGAAATCTCCCCGCCATCAGCGAAGAGGATAGTTCACTTGAAAACTAATTACACAAAATCAATATTTAATCACAGACCAGCATCCTGATCTTGCAGGAAAGAAAAAAAACCTTTAAAAATCCACCGCAATATACAAATAACCCCTTTCACCCACTGTGATGTACTCATGTATTTTTATTCAGACCATTTTATCTTTTTTTCAGGGCACCGCGGTCATATTTCCAAATATTTCAGCTCTATTTCAAAGAGCTGGGTCCGTGATTTTCTGTATTTTCTTGTAGTATGCACTCAAGAACACGTTTTAGTCATTCTATTCTTGAACAGAGAAAGACGCAGCTATTTGGTGAGCTTCGATATTTCATTCTTTCGAAAAATCCAATTGCTTCTTTAATTCTGCAAGAGCCAGTGAGAGAACAAGTATTTGATGGATAATGTATTTATATATTATTTTAAATGGATTTTGATTTCATTTCGTGTGTTGCGCCTGTATTTAAAACAACATTTTAAAATGTTACGAAGATAAACATCAACAAACTAATAAATTACAGCATCTGTGATCTGAGTCTTTTAATAATGAGTTCGAACCTGCAAAAAAAAACAATATGAATGTAAAACAAGGGGGAAAACAACCGTTTTAATAATTGCAATAATCACGAACATGTCATCGGGATCAAAATGTAAGACAAAATCGATATTTATTATTTTTAAAGCTAAGTGTAATCTTTAATTATTTTTTCTTCTGATCACACTAGAGCCCTTTAGACTCTGCTTCCAAAGCTTTCCTGTTTTACCCCTAATTGCAGGATAGATTTCAACCCCAGCAGAGATCAGAAAGGTCTAAACATTTTAAGTAAGATTATTGGGATAAATATTTCATAAAGAGGAGAGCGAGTATTAAATAACATGTATTGATTTTAGTATCACAACACAATTCTACTCCTTAGCCCCTCTAGTCTAATTGATCTTTTAAGGAGGCTTGTGGTAGGAGCAAATGGCAAAGCGTGCCTTCATCTGAAGCATCTTCTTATGATATGTAGACACCTACGATCTACAAGGTAGCGAAGTCTCTCTTCACTGATTTCCGACTCAAAGGAGAGAGACTAAGCGTGTGGTTATAAATGAACAAATTACAGCCCCCGCGGTGCGATTTTAAAAGCTCGTGCATGGTGTTCAACTAAGTTAGATTCTGTGCAACACATGCACTTGTACTTCAATGAATTCTTGTCAGTTTTTTACACCTGGTAGGGACCAAAGTTTAGTCTTGAAGTGTCCGTTCATGGGTTTCTGATTTCACTTTGAAGACGTTCTAAAGCGCAATGGATTGTTGTCCCCGCAATATGCTCTGATGCGGAGCGGCGCTATCACGGCTGATATCAGAAAGAGAGCATTTGAGATCCTAAAATCGTGCCTCTCCAAATTAAAAAAAAATGTATCCTATCTAATGCACACAGTCTGATGTGGGTGGAACAAATCTGAAATGCACGTTTAATATTTTAATCACACACGAAGACACGCGTTACATGATGCCCTTGTTCTATATATATAAACTGAAAAACTTTTGCGTCCTCAATCGATTGTTACTTCGGAGCTCAATACGGTATAAAATGCGCGGCGCTCCGAATAATTTAAAAGGCAAACAGAATTATGCAAATTACGTACTTAATCTATAAAGAAAATGGTAATCTATTGTTTAAATTACATTAGCAAAACAAAGGGCACGACGGTCATTATACTCCATATGTGTGAAAGCCACCACACTGCTCCTTGGTACACTGGAGACATCAAAAAAGAAATATTCTTGATCATGAGGAGTAAGGTCTCCTAACAGTGTTTCGTTAGTCGGGGTTTATGCTGAAAACAGGAACTATGTGGAAATATAGTTTATACTAGAATTTATTTTCCAATAAAAGGACGGGCTATACAAATGAAACGGATCATGTAGATAAACATGTCATGTATGATTAAAACTTCATGCACAAGGTTCCAATTAAAAAAAAACACTGAAAAACAAAATCCAACATCTGATTTGCCCTCAAAACAGGAAAGATGGCAAAGTTTCTTTAAAGACACAATGTGAAAAGACTGAAGTTGTCGGAGGATTGCTTGAGCGACTTTAGACCACCTTAAGAGTTAGTCCCTCCCTCGCTGGCTGTGCATAGGAGGCTGCGATTGGCGAGAAGCTAATGGCTGAAATTGATTGCCGAAATGCAAAACTTGTTGCTGCTTCTGTAACACGGTGATCTCACAGTGCTAGCGAGAGAGAGTCTGATCTCACACCGAATTCCTCCTCCTGGAGGGGATACATCCGAGTCCAGAGAAAAGAAAAAAAAAGAGAGGGGCTTCACACTACAGCTCCGCTAATGACAAGGAGCAGATGACCGGCGTAACAGAGCCCCGATAATGTGATCTGCGCTCTGGGGCTGAAGGGAAGATCCGTGCGTTTTGGTTTTCTGGGTGACAGCGGATTTCTAGCTCTTCTTCTGGATGGTTGCTCATCGACGGAAAAAAGACTGACAATATCATAAGTCGCTAAATGCTAAAAAGCAGTTGAATCACATTGGTAAAGGAAAAAAAATATAATACAGACGTTTTTTTTATTGCACCACCTTTCAGTGCTCTTGAATTGTGGAGAAATGAGAAAGGGATGGGACAAAGTATCGAGGAACCTTTGACTCAGACCCGAGGTACAGACAGCTAGGACACTGACATCACCTGGAGTAAGACTTTTTTTTTTAAAAAGGGGGACATTAACAGTAGGTGTTTCTTCTTGTTCGTCTGCCAGTTTTGCTACCTGTCACTTTAGCTTCGTAAGGCTGAAAAGAAAGGATTTCTTTGTTTTCTAACTTTTGTGGAGAACGGGGGATGTGCATAATATATTGGGAATACGAAATCGCAGAAGACTCCTTTTTAATCCATTGTGATAATTAAAAAATACTTTATTTTTTTATTTTCCTGGCGATGCAAAGTTTGCGTAATGCACAGTAAAACGTAGGGATCAGGAATCGTACAGCTTATGAACTTCAAGTTACGGGGAAAGACCGTGGATATTTGTGATTGTTTTTAAGAGCGCTGCACGGACGCTCGCTGGACTCTTTGCCCCCTTTTAAAACAATATCGGGGGACAAGAGTTTACGTCCACTTGAGCAATACTAAAGTCACCACGCCGCAAAATGTGAACTTCGGGGGTGAGTTTTATATTAAGCTTTTCAATTAGGATTGTGTATTTTATATACAAGGACATTTGATATTTGGATTATTTGAACTCCATCTTTTTTGCCTTTTGTTTTATTTATTATTTTTTAATTTCGTTTGTCCCCTCTTTTACTCGTAATTCGAAAAATCGAGAGAGAGAGAGAGAGAGCGGGAGACTGTGCTAGACCAGCCGTAGCGGGGAGAGCTGGCTGTCATGAGGGATTGATCGCGGAGAAGTATGTTTGTGCTGGAGCAGTTTGAGCCTCAGATTAACAGTAGAAACGCTGGCCAAGGAGAGAGAAACTTAAACCAGCCTCGACTGAACATGAGCTCCCACTACAAAAGTCCGGCTTTCCATGCCGCGGGGCCGCCTGGAGCTGTGGAACATGCGATGGGGGCTTTAAACGAGCCTCCGATTCTGGGACTAAACATGAATCTCAACGGGGAGCAATACAGCTTCCACCCGAGGGGCCACTCTGAAATGCACGCAGGAGGGCTGCAGCCGCCGCCGCCGATGCACGGCTTCTTCAATAACCAGCAACCTCACCACGGCCACCCTCACGGCCACCACCCTCACGCTCACCAGCACCATCCTCATTTCGGGGGCAACTTCAGCAGCCCGGACCCTACTGGGTCCTGTCTACACGGGGGTCGCCTCATGGGCTATAACGGCAGCGCGATCGGGCCCCAGCAGAACTTTGCAGAAGGCTTTGAGCCCATCGCTGAAAACCAGACGGGGGAGGGCTTTGGGCAGCAGCAGCAGCGTTCGAGCAACATGCCAGAGTTCCAGCACCACAGCGCCCAGAACAGCAGCCACGCGGTCCCAGCCCCCTGCCTCCCCCTGGATCAGTCTCCGAACCGGGCTGCCTCCTTCCATGGGCTTCCGTCCTCCAGCTCCTCCGATGCCCACAGCCTGGAGCAGAGGAGAATGCCTCCCCAGGGGGGTGGAGAAAATTTGGAATACAGTTACCCCAGCGAGACCCCTTCAGGACACTTTGATGTGCCAGGGTTTTCTCCGTCTGAGTCAGAATCCCAGCACCCCCACTATGGGCCCGGCAGGCAAGTGGCTGGTAGCAGCTTCCCTGCCAACCCTGCCATGCCAAGAGCACCAGGCATGCCAGGGATTGCCAAAGTCCACCACCAGCAGCAGCATGGCGTGTTCTTTGAAAGATTTGGAAATGGACGGAAGATGTCTGTGGGCATGGAGCCCGGTGTCAACGCCAGGCACCCTTTGATGCAGCAGCAGCAGCAGGCTGGCTTGCTTGCCAGGCAGAACTCTTGTCCTCCAGCTCTTCCTAGGCCACCTCAATCCGAGTCGAGCACGGCCAACCCTAACATGCAGGAAAACGGAGTGATGATGCCCGGCCAGCACAACCAGTTTGAATACCCCATTCATAGACTGGAGAACAGAAATATGCATCCTTATGGGGACCCTATGTTTAATATGCAGCAACAACCCCCTCAGCAGCCCCCAAATCAAAGACTGCAACACTTTGACTCCCCCTATCTGAATGTGGCAAAAAGGCCCAGGTTTGATTTTCCAAATAATCATAATGCTGAGAACTGTGGTACCTGGAACAGCAACTTGCACAACCCTCCAGGCATGGAGAATCACCTGTCTCCATCTGCCTACCCTGGTCTTCCTGGGGAGTTCACTCCTCCTGTTCCAGAAGGGTTCCCACCAGGCCCCCCTCTCCAACACGCAGGCCCGGATCAGCAGTCCATGCAGCAGCGCCAAAATGCAGCTATGATGATTAAACAAATGGCCTCCAGAAACCAACAGCAAAGAATGAGACAGCCTAATCTCCAGCAGTTGGGTCACCATGGGGATGTCAGTCAAAGCAGCATGGTGCATGGGGGCCAAGTGGGAAATATGCCTCAGCCAAATTTCGAAAGGGAGGGTGGAAGGATGGCCAGCTTTGATTCCCAGAACCCCCACATGCCTCAGGAGAATACCTGGTTTCCAGGGCCCCATCAGCCAGGAGAAATGCTGCCGCGGAGGATGGGCGGCTCCAGTGTCCCGGGGGAGGCCAGCCCTCACGAGATGGGGCTGCAGCAGAATGGCTCGAACATGCTGTTCCGGCCTGGGGTGAACGGAATGGGCATGCAGGAGCCGATGAGGATGCCAGGAGACGGACACGTACAGGCCCTGCATTCTCCGAGCATGCACTCACAGTTTGGAAACAACATGGGCGGCCTTTCGCAGATGCAGTCTCCCGGTGCAGGAGTAGGGCTTCCAAACGCACCCTCTGACCGGAGAGCCCCTGATTTCCCCGCACCCCCCATGGGGGCGCAGCCTAGTTTTCCTTTTGGAGGGTCAAACCGACAAGGACCACCCCACAGCAGCACCCCAGGGGTGAGTGCTTCCCCAGGAAATTACCCTCCCCAGCCAGAATTCCCTCCGGGTCAGCGCTCCTCAGTCAGCAAACTGGGGGCCCTCTCTCTTGGTTCCTTTAGTAAAAGCAGCTCGAAAGACAACATGTTTGGTCAGAGTTGCCTGGCAGCTCTTTCCACTGCGTGCCAGAATATGATTGCCAGTCTGGGGGCCCCAAACCTCAATGTAACATTTAACAAGAAGAGCCAGAATGAGGGCAAGAGAAAACTGAGTCAAACAGAGCAGGACATAACTAGCGGCAGCACAAGTGGAAATGGCAGCAGTGAGTATTTTCAGAGCAATGCTGCTCAGAGTGGCCAGATGCCTGGCACCGGGAATAGTAACAGTAAGCCTACAGGTCAAAGTGGCACGAGCCAGCCGGTTCAGGGGGACACCACCACCACCCTCTCCCCAAACTACAACATGGACGCTACCCCGGGGAGCGAGGGGAAACCGACGACAGGGAGTGGGAGAGGGCGGGGGAGGAGAAAAAGGGACAGTGGGCATGTGAGCCCGGGAATTTTTTTTTCCTCTGACAGTGGCAATCCGGTAGTAAGTCCGGGTCAGCAGGGCCCGCCTGCCAGCGCTGGGGAGCGGGGTGGTGGGACACCCCACGAAAAACCCCTCACGTCCCCTTCCTGGGGGAAGGGGGGTGACCTGCTGCTCAACGACCAGCCGGATCTCATGTCCTCCTTGGACAGCGGGATTCAAAGCGTCACCAAGTCCGACGGAGGCTCCCCGCATGTGGACTTTCCCGACGACGTCAGCACCAGCTACGGCGGTAATGAAGACGAGGTGTCCTCCAGCTCGGACAACAATGTCTCAAAACCTAACCGGAGCCCCCTAGTCACAAGCTCCCCCAAAATCCAGCGAGGTGACCACGGGCTGATGAACGGGCAGAAGCAAATGAGTCTAAGTATTCTAAATAACACTACCTCTACCCCAGACAGCTATGGGCTCAGCAGCAGTGGGGGTGGCCATCCTAGTACACCTGGCATGGAGCAGGTCCGCACGCCATCCAGCACATCCACGCAGGATGAGATTCACCCTTTAGAGATCCTCCAGGCACAGATTCAGCTGCAGCGGCAACAGTTCAGCATATCAGAAGATCAGCCTCTGGCCATGAAAAACAAGAAGGCTGACTGCAGCAGTCAGAATGGAGACAATGAGCTGGCCAACTGTGGCACGGACAGTAACAAAAATACCATGAGCACTATTGACCTTGACTCTCTCATGGCGGAGCAGCATGCCACCTGGTATATTCCCAACGATAAGTCCTTGATTGAGGGACAGGAGGACGACAAGCCCATGGCACCCTGGGAAAAGACAAAGCCCCAGAATAACAACAAAGAAGGTAACCTCATTTGCAATCTTAATGAAAGAATGATGAATTGGTTGCATGCCTGCTGTGTTTCCCTTAATAGTTAAGTGTTTTTTACCAGGGACGGTGACAGTGATGTCACATCTCACCCTACAGGGCTGTGGAAAAGCACACACACTCACACAGGACGGTTTTTCATATGTGGTCAAATTACACACGAATGCACGTTAACATTCGGTGTGAAAATGCAACAAATATTCACGATTTACATGCAACAAACCGTCTAGAAGCCTGTATTTTACGATAAAGGTGACAAGGAACTGAAATACAACTATTATGCGCATTATCCCAGCTGCAGCAACCCAAAACTCCAATCAGTATTGCCTTACATGTTGTTTTAAAAATTTAAATAATTACTTTTTTATACAAGCAATTCAGGTTAGCGTTCCAAATGATTCTAGGGAGTATAAAAAAGGACTTCATGTGAGGTTGTAAGATTTATGATCCTGGCACAATTCCGGAACACAATGTTAGGCTTGTTTCTTCGTTGTATCGAGACTTTGCTTATTAACAATCCGCGATGAAGCGGCATTTTGCTTAAGCGGAGACGCTCTGAGATCTGTGCAGGTTTACTTTCGCAAGTCGAAGTTCGTGGGGCCCCAACTGGAGGAATTTAATGCAGCGGACCTCGGCAAACACGAGGCAGCCAGACAGGCGAAAGAAATATTTTGCATCCAAATTCAAAAGTATCTGCTGCAGGTAAAAGTTGGAAAGAACTGTTGAAAGAGTGTGGTGTGAAAAATAATGACTGAGGTTCAAAGGAGGCCAGCAGACCCCTTTTCTTAGCAAGACAGATGGTGGATTTTGAGAAACAAAAGTGGGAATCGAAAAAGTAAAATTCAACCCCCCCGCTCTTCTGTGACTTTTACATAGTCTTGCGTTTCTCCCGGTTTGTACAAGGGGAACCGATATAAAGTTACAGTGAAAACAACTGTTTAACTGCAAACTGTAAACTGAAGGAAAATAAAGTAAATATTTCCCCCCGTTCGTTATCTCGGCTTTCAAGTCGATCAACACGGACACATTTCTGTCTGTTGGAGGCTCAGTTTCTCTGTGGGGTCCCACCGGTTTGCCCTCAGGGTGTTTCTTTCCTGCCCCGGTATCTCGGTTTACTTTTGTTATTACTCGGACTAATCTGATTGGATCAAGTGGATTGTTTTTCCTCCCTTTTTTTTTGGTGGGTGGTGGGGGTAACATAAAAGGGGATTATCTCACGTTTTAATGACCAAATTGTTGCGATTAGGGGAATTTCTTAAAATCGGCGCAGTCGGGGTTCCACAGTCTAATCTTATCAACAGTCAATATCCCACGTACGCGCTCGTGCCGGTACTAATGGGATTTATTCGTCGGACTGCAGCGTCTCCTGCGTCTAGAGAAGCACCTCGGTTGGTCTCTGACTGCTACCGGTTATCATCTTTTTTATTACCGAAAAAAAATGCGATTCTTACGTGTGCGTCGGAGAGAAAAGTTTGTCACAAAACGGGCGAAGTATTTTATTCTCAACGTGTGTTCTCGCCACACGACATCCCATCGATTAATCAGACTCCTAAAGGAATTTAATTGGCGGGTGTATAATTTTATATCTTATCTGATATTTTAAGACCTTACGTCCGACCTGATTTATTCTTTTTTTTCGTTATAAAAATGTAATCGCATATGTTACAACAGACTGGATGATGATAACGCTCGTGTCATAAAGTCCTTTCAAGACGTTCATACCTCCACGGATTCTCAAAGTGCAGAAGAATGGACCCAGAATGTTCACGAGTGAATTTATCAACCAATTAAAACTTAACAGAGGCTAATTAAGTTAAGCAGCATCAAATGAATAGGGAACTACTAGCTTTAATGCGGCGCCCTAATTCATTTAACAGCCCACTTATAATGATATAGTTAATAGCTGTGCAGTTTGTAGAAATGTTTTGTGATTGCACGTAAATTCAATTGATATAAACACTCGAGTGATCTTAACTCATTTTTCACAGGGGCTGGGACATCGCCCTTTTCATTCCTGTGTGTTGGTGGGCTGTACGCGGGGAAGGTCGCTTCCACCAAATAAAGAGAACAAATTTAAACATAATTAGTAAAAAGACATGTTTACACCATCAACAGCGACGAATAGGCCTTCCTTTGCAAATGACTTGACCCTAATGGGATTTATTAGGAAACTGGGCGAGGACACTGTGAAAAGGGGTTGCACACGCCTAAAACAAAACGAGATAACTTTTTTTTCATTCAACCAAGCAAATAGGGATTTTGAGGTTTCCGGGATTTTCTGTACCATTTTCATTGATAGATTTTCAAGTAAACGATTAAAACAATTATACAGTTATTTCAGTACAAAACAACGTCGTCTTAGATTCAATTACGTTTACACGAAAAATCCGTTTGACCTAATTTGGAGGCTACGTGGATGCACCATACTCATTAAAAATTGAAACGCCCCAAAATAAGTTTTAAATTGTGCAACCTGAATTTCGAAACGCCACACGGCGTTATAATCCACAATGTACTCGTTCATACATGTGTATATAAACATACATAAACGCACAAATGTATACGCCCATTAATTATAAGTGTTTTTTTTATTAAAACAATTTGAATTCACGCACTATAGGGAGACTTGGGACTGTTTTGCCGTCGTGCAATTCGCATTTGATTTGGGTGGGTTGACGTTTTCAGTGAGATTAATCGGTTCATTTCGAGCGTCTTGACTTTTTTTTTTCCTTTTCGTGGAAAACGGTGTTGCCAAATGCACCATCATAAGCCTTTGTCACTGAGCTTCAGCGGGACAGCATTAGATTCGGTAGACGTGGTTCGGCTGGCTTCCTCCGGGTCAGAGCGGAGCCTCGGCTCCTACCGCCGCCTCTTTGTTCTGATCGGCGCCCGGAATCCGAGCTGCGGTGTTTAACATGCAGAGCCGGCTGCAGGCGGCACATCAGCATGACCGGCGCTGCGCTCCGATTCAAGGACATAAATTGGCTTGTTCGCAGCCCTTTTTATTTTTAAATGGAAATCGCAGAACCACACGCTTCCTTCATTGCACCCCTTACCCTCTGTCTCGGGTCTCCCCCTTTTAGTCTTGCGCACAGCGTCTCGTTTCGCTGCGATCGATAGCTGGTTAGCACAGATCTCAGCCTCTGTCACAGTCGCCTCTTAGGCGCAACAGACAACAAAGAATTAGAGAAAAAGGGAAGGGCTTTAAATATTTTAATATGCGTGTTAATATGTGGCCTCTCATTTGTCAAAAATGGAGTTACTGATAATTTCATATAGTGCAGTGTATAAACTTTCCAATGTATTGTGCTTTACACACCAACACGCTAAATAATGATATAATCGATGCTATCAAGGGGTTTCTGTGATATCTCGTTTCTTTTGCCCGATGTCCTGCTACCTTATTGACAGGGCGTCCCGGTAAACGACCGATCACCGAGATTATAGGGAGGATAACCATTTCCACCGAATAAATACGCAAATTACACTGTCTCAGATCACGCACCGTTTTCTTAGGGGCCGGAGGACCAGGTGCGGTAATTGCTGAAGAATTATATGATAAGGGTCCATTGATATTTCAGTTATTTGATACAGTTGCAACAACATCACCTTTAGTGTTATAAAGGTGTATCAGGTCACTTGACCAGCTTGGTCCGAACATGCGGCTCAGGGATGCAGGAGAGGATCACCACTGTGTCAAATGTAGAAGCGGTTTAACGCTCGATTTCTATTGTTGTTTCTTTAGTCACACGAGCACGTCATCATTTGACATAGTAAATCTGGTAGTTTAAGATTATGTGATAAAATTTTGTTTTGTCGTTGTTCCCTGAGTGCAAGTAGTTTCTCTGTTGAGCTAGTCCTCAACAGGCCTGCTTGAAGAAACGTGCGAGTCGATTACATTCAGAATAAACGTTTAATTTTACTGATACACATTACAGGAAAAAAACCCCAACAAAACTCGCGGTTTCTTTGACTAGTTTTCTTTACACTTAGCTGTTTTAGAAACTTTAGTATTAAATTGATTAAATCACGTTTATTTTATTATTTCTGAATGTCTGAAAACAACGAAATAAAACGAAAAGCATTGGAAAAACGACTACGTTAACGCTAATAGTAATACAATTGTGACAGTAATTCGGAGATCTATTTAAATGTTGTCTAGTCGGCAAATACAAGCCGGAACTAGCCTGACAAGTATAGAAATTCCTGCCATTTTCAAGTCAAAAAAGGTCTCTGAAGAATGTAAATACCTCCATAGTTTCACTGATGCGTCTGAGAGGGAATTAGTATAAGGTTTTGGTGCAGAGCTGCATATATTGTATTTTTGAAATTATACTTTTTTTAATCAATGGGTCGAGTAATGAGGGTAACAGTGGGCAAGCCTGTATGAACGGTTGTCCGAATACACAATAATTAAGGAACACTCATTTATTTGAATTGCATTTACAATAAAGATCATGTATAACATGTATAAAATGAATAATGTACATCATTTATAAGTAATAAAAGACGTCATGATGGCATCTTCACGAATGTGTCTATTTTTAGTCTTGCGTGAATATAGGCTCTCCCAGTCGCATACAATCTACAGGTATTATGAGGGGGTGTTTGTTGTGTGAGGAAAGGGTTAATGGTTCAGTAACTCAACACCTCCCAGGTGTGAATGGGTATTTTTTCTAATGTGCAGCGATTATTTAGGATTTAAAAAGCTAATATTCGTCTTCTAAGAATGTGGTGATTGCCAACTCTACTTGCAAAGACTAGTGTTTTATTTAGTTGTTTTCAGAAGTAGAGATAGACAACCTTTTTTCACTCGAGTCCGTATGCTTCCATTAATATATGCTTGAGTACAATATATACAAAATTACGTACTATGATATTGCTAATACTTTATTTATAATTATTTTCTTTGCCGTTTCACGTACGTGCAGAAACCTGTACCGATTTCAGTGGACCAAACATTAACCGTGGAGCTA